TTAGAAAAACAACAACAAAAACACAGTAATATCTGCTAGAACTTTGTATACAGAATTTTATGTTTTGTTTGTAGAATACGATTCACCTATAGGGAGCACACACAACCTCTCACTGCACTATCTAACGTGTAACTGAATAGGTATCAGGTTTCCCCCTCTCCACCTGACCGTTAATCCCCGGTTAATTTGCAGTGTAACACCCACACTCAGTTCACATTAGAAATTTCCAGAATTCTTACATTTATGTGTAATTGTACATGCTCCATTCGAATCTGTCTGTATAAATTTGATAAAATCTACCGTTTTGGAGTTATCGACAGTGAAAGTTTGGATTCATTCGCGTCGCGGGCATCCATTACGGGCGTTATTTTTATACATTCGCTGCAGAATAGCTATCAGTGTAGGTATCATTACGCAAACTGAGTGTATCTCTCTAAATAGTCCTCGCGCGCAGTAATTGCCACAAATTTAAACAAAAAAGATCAGTTTCGAGCTTAGCTTTCCGTAGTCTTCCGCGTTTATCTTTCCGCAGCAAATGCATGCAAACAACGCAAGTAATGGCGGCCGCCAACGACCCGAGTGAATCCCAAATTTCACTGTCGATAATTCCAAAACAGTAGATTTTAACAAATTTATCAAGCCAGATTCGAATGGAGCATGTACAATTACACATAAATGTAAGTATTTTGGAAATTTTTAATGACAACTGAGTGCGGGTGTTACACTTTAAATTAACCTAATCCTCTACATATGACGTTACATTCAACATTAATAAAATAATATTATTAATTATTGAAACAAAAAACTAAATCTTATTTCATTAATTACTTTTCTTAACACTTTGAGCGCAACCCATAAAAGAGGCGCTATTAACAAATCAGTAAAATTGTGCTTATTCCGGGTGTGAAATCAGTATGTCAATTTTAATCTAAATCAAGTGAAAAAAACGAACTCAAGAGAAACTATGTTCAAAATTGTTACCCAGAGTTATATATTTATATTCAACATTGCTAACCAAGCAAATTAATGATATCAAAATCAAGCAAGTATAGAAGTTTAAAGATGTTTTGAATTTCATGATCAAAATCCAAAAGATCAGCAATATTATTGGTTCTGACCTGACGTCTCGGCTTCAGTCACTTTTCCCACTGCCGTAAAGTTGATTACTTGTGCCTTTTACATAAATACTTTCAAGGTTATTGTTCGGATGAGCTCTTCGTTAGGTGGTCAGTGATGTCAGTTCTCTGGTGGATGCGGGCACCTTTCTTTTCGGATGTGTTTTTCGTATTTGTCGTTGTGCTTGAACGAGTGTGTGTTTGAGTGAGTGCATGGGATGAATGAATATTTTATATTATTAAACTCCCGCATTGATTTCGTCCAGTTAACTGATGTTTCTGCTACATTTAAGTAATGTGGTTTTTTTTTATTAGTAACATTATTTTATATGGTTCCTTTTAATTAATTTTGTTTTCATATTATAAATACTCATTGGGGCTAGTTTTTAAATTGTTGTTTTATCCCTCAACCACAAACAATGAATTCTACATATGGAGACTAGTCAGGATTTTTATAGAGACAGTGAGGTATTATGGTGGATGTAGTAAAAAATGGTAAGTAAAAATGCGTTATTTTGTTGGTAGGAATATTGTGGTATGTTTGGGTCAGTGTTTGTGGCTAGATAAGTTTAACGTTAAGACAGATGAAGACCGGCCTTTCCCCATTCCTCATTTTGGCCTTGTGCCACATTTTGCAAATAATTAGAAATAAATATCGCTCTTCGGTGTGGTCCCTAGACTTTATGGATTTAAGCGCTGTACTAGATTGGCAACAAGGTCTCCTTAATTTATAGTTGAATTGGCTAGATGTAACCGTAAGTTCTATGCTAACAGTTTCTTTTCTCGCACTTCTCGCTTATGGAACTTTCTTTCGGATCCATGTCTTCCGGCTTACAGGATAACATTGACCTACTCCATTTTTGGTTATACCTGGTTCTTGTAAAGTAGTCGACTCGTACAAGTGACTGAGCATTTTTTTAGTATTTTCAGCGGTTGATCGTATATACGAATTTCACTTGAGGTCTAAGTTGAGCTTAAGTCTCAATAGTCGTTCAAGGCAAGAGGCCTCCTTGAGAGAACGGCCATTCTTTGCATGAGGGTTTCTTTAGTGATGATGGAACCTTACTAGAATGTGACCAACCAATTAACTGCAAAGAGAGAGAGAGAGAGAGAGAGAGAGAGAGAGAGAAATAAATATATACAATCTGTTTCTATTTTAATAGTTCGTTTTCACTTTCTCGTATTCTGGAATCTCGATGCGGCACCAATAAGACCATCACGACCTTTATTTTTTGTTAGTCCAATACTGACAAATACTAGCGAGAGATTTGTGTGAATGGATGCCAACATAATAAGAGGAATAGTAAAAAGACAAACATGGCTAAGAGATACAATATTTAGGAAGATGTGGAAAGCCATAATTGCCCACGTTATGAATAGATTCGCTAAGAAGAAAAAGAAACAAACCAAAATCATTTTCTATTTTTCTGCTTTGCTTTTTGTTCAAATATTGCATATATATATACAGAATATCATGGACAAATTGTCTTCTAAATTACGCAAAAATGAAAATAACACTGGCATCTCATATTAACAGATGTATTTACTAAAATTACACAAAAATATCTTGAAATACTAAAGAGTATATTTGTTCAATAAAATCACCATTGGCTTCAACCATGGCATCCAAACGACTTCGGAATCTATTGCAACTCTTCTGGAGGCTTTCCTTGTTTAAGTTAGTGAATGCTGCCATGATTCTTGCCTTCAGTTCATCTTTGGTGTTACAAGGAGTTTTGTTGGTCTCTTGCTCAAATGCGCCCCACAGATAATAATCAAGAGGTTTGCAATCTGGGGAGTTAGGTGTCCAGATATAAGGGATGATATGATCATAGAAATTGTCTGACAGCTATGACTGGGTTCTTCTGCTTGTGTGTCATAGTGCAGGGTCCTGCTGTCAGACATAGAGTCTTCCAGGAGCTATAATCTTAACCCAGGGCAACACTATCTCCTGAAGTAGTCCTCCGTGTTGAATTTGAAGCCCAGGGTGAAGATGAATGGAGGCATAACCTCGCTATCACACGTGATCACTCCAAAACACATTCTTAATTCTAGATATCCAACTCTTTCCGAATTATCTTCATTGTTCTCAGATTGAAACCCAAACACTCTGAAATATTCGTACAGAAGCTTCCGGTGCGAATGCCAAGCAGTACAGCATACCGTTTCCAAATTTCTGGCGGAGTTTATTGCTCTTTTCCTCACAGACGGCGCCGAACTGACACTACTATGATGTGCAGTCAAAAACAAACAATGCGCATGCGCGGAGTAAAAAATAAAAAAAATGGCGACAAATTACACCCTATATCTATTGATTCACCTGTTGGCTGACGAAGCCATATTGGCAGAAACGGTGGTTGCAAGAAGGTCAGTGTTTCGGCTATTTTATTTTTTAACCTGCGCTACATTCTCGTTTTATGAAAACTGTACTGAACACTCTCAATTAAACCGTTCTTCTGGCGAAATCAGTCTTTGCCAAAGATTGAATATATATATATATATATATATATATATATTGTTTATACAATATTTCTAGATACAATTTATTTAAGTAAATGCTCTGTTTTTATTTGAGCAGTATTAATTGCATTTATTGAGCTGAATGTTCAAGAAATAGGAAATATGCATTTTCCGACAGGAATCGAACCTGTATCCCTATATGGAAACCATCATTTGTGCTGAGGTGCTGTATTATTCATCTAAAGAGAAGCGTTTGGTTAGCAAAGTTTGAATTACTGTTTTTTAATACAAAATCTTCGACGGTATTTCTCGGTCGATCATTTCTGCTGACGAAACGTACCTTAACGTAAACAACGACAACATATAAGGAAATGGATTCATTCCAACAATTATTTAATATATAGTTTTTGTTTATATTTTCTACAAAATTTCTCGCACATTCAGGTCGGTAAATGTAATTAATGCTGTTTAATTAAAAACAGAGCATTTACTTAAATAAATTTTATAAACAGAAAATATATGAAATAATTGTCGGACTTAATCCATTTTATGATATATATATATATATATATATATATATATATATATATATATATAAAATAATCATTCAAAAAATTCAGTTCGGTAACAGATTAAGAAGGCATTAATTTCAGGCATAGATGTTATTTTTCCCTCAATTTCAAGTACAAATTTCAAGACGAAAGTGAATGTGTTACTTGTCGAAAGATGTTTTATTAAATTACCTAAAATTGAGAAAAAATAACATCTATGCCTGAAGATGGTGCTTATATGCATCGAAAGCTCTTGCAAACTATACGGACCGCACATCTAATCCATAGTACAATTAATAAAAACAAAGATCTTGTCGTTCAGAGAGTGGTAAGTGATTTAATACATTTCTTAATCTGTTAGCGAAGTGAATTCGCCATTAATTACATTAACTTTATTGATTTATTCTTTGGATGACTATTTTATAATAATTAAGGCGCATTATTTCTTTATATATATATATATATATATATATATATATATATATATATATATATATATTCCATGAACCTATAAAAATTCCCTGGTCCAGTTACCGAGATTATATTGTAATATAATATGCTGGAGCCCTAGAGGCCTGTTTCTATTGTTTTGATTGATTCGTTTTATACGATTTATTAACTCTTTTGCGGATTATTTAAAGACAGAATATGTTTTAGATTGTAAGTCATTGGGGTGGGAGCGGTAATAATAGGTTTAGAGATACAAGCCTTGCTAATTACCTTATAACTGAGGGGAGAAGAAGTGGATTCATACCCTTCCCAAGGTTATTTTTGTGCAAGTGAATATAAAGAACCCAACTGGAATTGGAACTCGGCTATACGATTAACAATTCCGAGCCATTATTCATTATATCACCTGCACATCCAAAGTTATAGCACCTGATATTCACATACGTTCACCCATCTACGTATTAACCAGGCTCGACGTTGCTTAACTTCGGTGCTCGTATGAGAACCGGTGTTTCAACATGATGTGGCGGTTTCGCGATTGATTGATTAAATGATTGATTGATTGAATGGTCTGTCATTTACGGTTTATCAACCCTCTGTGGGTTAATTAAAGCCGAAACTAATTTTGGGTTGTAAGAGGATTTTTCCAGTACAAGTCCAACTATTTAACCCATAGAGAGAAGCGATGGATTTCATATTTTTCCCCAGGGTATTTGAGTGCAAGTGAATTTTACGAACCCGACTGGAATTCAGACTCTGCTTCGGAAGGGGGCCAGGGTTCCCAAAGGTGTAGGGGGGGCTGTTGAGGGTGTAAATCAATTTTATCATTAGTCTATATACGCATATCTTCCGTTTTAAACCCCGAGCGTTTGTGTGGGCGTAGGGATAAATATCAACATTTGAATAAATCATTTTCGTTTTTTGAGCGGCAACTGATTATATGGAGTTATCTGGCTTTTTCTGTCATACATATATATATATATATATATATATATATATATATATATATATATATATATATATATATATATATATATATGTGATAGACTTACGATGATAAGCAAGGGAATAACTTGACTGTCTATTTTAAAACCAGATACGGTCAATTCCCCATGAACAGGGCTCAACATTTCGAACGGAATTTGAGCCCATGAGGTACTATCGTAAATGATGATAGGCGTAAATGATTTTCTTGCAAAGAATCCCAAGAGGATAGAATGAAGTTTCTCTCATTGAAGATAAGAGAAACCGTTCTTTCCACTAACAAAATACATACATGCATATATATATATATATATATATATATATATATATATATATATATATATATATGCGTGTGTGTTTGGATATGAGTTATTGTTCTTGTGAAAGAACTATGAATTTCACGTTCCCTTTATACTTTAAGTTTGTATATTAATATATATCTAAAATACATACGTCAAATAAAAATACGTAAACATAAATGTTATGCTATATATTCTGTGTGCCAATATATATATATATATATATATATATATATATATATATATATATATATATCGGATATATAGTAGAGGCAGAGTGCCTGGCGTTGCCCGGGGATATAACAGTAAGAGATAGATCAAGTATCCACCATCATAAAGACTGAAAATAAAATTGACAAAGATTATTGTTTAAGTTCGACGGACACGCATGTCTTAATTAGTTTTTTTTTTTTTTTTTTTTACGAATTGGTCAAACCCAAACTCAAACAAAAACATTGTTTTCAATCGTTATGAGTCTCTACCGATTGAATAGAATTTTATTTTAAACAATTGTCTTATAAATGGAATTTTTAAAGCATTCTGAATGTAAAAATAAAGAAAAAAGTGTGCAAGACAATAAGAAACACTACATGCCAAAAAAAAAAAGTGAAGTTTTGTTGAAATCGGTTGAAAAATGTAGGTAGCCTTTCTGTAATCCTTTAGTTTTACGAATTTATGATTTTACTTATTGAATACAGTAAAAAAATTGCATATTTTGCTTGTGGTGATTCATAATTAGAATTCTGATTTGAATATATTTTCCACTGTTGTTTCTAATACAAAAAATATTAAATTTATTTGGGTTTATTAATTATGATCTAACAAATCGTATTCATTTAGTAGCCTTTCTGTAATAATAATCTTTTACAATTTATGATTTTTACTTATTGAATACAGTAAAAAAATTGGACACCATGTGTATTTAAAGTAGTTTCCCGTTCCGGTTATTATTTTTAGTTAGGACTTGTGTATGTTTAGATTTCATTATCTTTCCCTAAAGATAAAGAATTTATTCCGATGTTTGTATTCGTACAATCAGTAGAGATCGTTAGATTATTGTTTAAGGTTGACGGACACATATGTCTTAATTAGGTTTTTTTTTTTGTCAAACCCAAACAAAAACATTGTTTTCAATCGTTATGAGTCATCCGATTGAATAGAATTTTATTATAAATAATTGTCTTGTAAATGAAATTTTTAAAGCATTCTGAATGTTAAAAATAAAGAAAAAGGTGTGCAAGAGAATAAGAAACACTACCTGCGCCCCCCCCCGCAAAAAATGTGAAGTTTTGTTTTATCGGCTGAAAAATATAGGAAATCCGCTCCCATATTTAAAGGAACCCCCACACAAACAACCCGATGTGAGTTGTCCTCCTTCCATTTTCACGATGTCTCTTAATCGTGTTTTCAAATTGATTTTGTGCAAAAACAATTACATTTTTCCCATTTTTGGCGCTGTTAGAACCACCACAAGATAATTTTATGTAGTCCTGTGAAGTTTTGTTGAAATCAGTTGAAAAATGTAGGAAATCCGATCCAATATATAAACGTTACAGACACACACACACACACACAATCTGCGTTTTATAATAAGTAAGATATATATATATATATTTATATATGCGTGTGTAGTGTGCCGTTTGTCCATATTCTAATGAAGGTTGCAAAGCTTATATTTTACCTTACCATGAAGACGTGATTAGAAAGTAAGCTAACACACTACAGCTAGAATTGAGTTCAACTCTAGCAAGGTGACTCACGTCGGTGGCCGTATACCAGACTTCCCGTTCATCAAATCTATATATATCTGTCTGTCCCTGTCTTCATCTATCTGTCTACGCATCTATCCAAATTTCTTCCAGATCTATCTATCTATCTATCTATCTATCTATCTATCTATCTATCTATCTATCTATCTCATCCCGTTCATCAAATATATATATCTCCGTCTGTCCGTGTCTTCATCTATCTGTCTACCCATCTAAATTTCTTCTGGATCTATCTATCTATCTATCTATCTATCTATCTATCTATCTATCTATCTATCTATCTATCTATCCGGAGACAGCCCGATGTCTACTTCACTGTTTACATTCTTATTTTTTCTGTGGTCTTATTGGGGAATTTGAATGATTTATTCTCGGATTCACATCTATGCATAAAAGTGCACCTTCATTAGTTAACCTGAATGCCACTGTTTGTTTTTGAATAGACTAGTTTCGAGAGGAACTTGCAAAAGACACGAAATACACATTTTCAATGGACAAATAACTATAAAAGAAACTATAGTGAATTTGTTCAGCGAGTATTGTCAAAACAACCTTGTCGATGTATTCATTTAGAAATAATCACAGCGGAAAAAATATAGAAAAACGACAAAAAAAAAAAAAACCAAAAAAACAAAAAAACCACGGAATATTTTCAAAAGGAAAAAGCTTTAAACTTAAGAATTTTATATGTAGATATGTTAAGAGTAACTATTAAGCAATAAATTCTCTCCGTCTAGCTGCTGTTTGAGAATACGGCAAGAATGCTAGTTTCTATAACCCGAGAAACATACCTGAGGGCATTTGTACACACATACGCAGCTTGATAAAGGGATCAAAACGGCTCTTCAGCAACGTAAATAAATCTCGTATGAATATATTATTGAAATGATGTTTCTGTCGGTGCTTGGTCCTTACTGATATATGTTTCGTTAGAAACAACACTTTTGGGCATACCCCCAACTTGTTTGCCGCCAAGACGCCTACTGGGTGGCGGTGTTTATGACAATGAAGGGACAAGTTAATAAACCATTTCCTATTGTTTTTTTTTTTTGTTTTTTTTGGGCCCGAAATGTAGCACGTCGATATGGTTCTGATCCCGCTGAGGGCAATTTCTTTTCGTCTCTCATACTAAATTTTAATGCAGATGCATATACGCATCACTCACATACACACACACATATACACGCGCGCGCGCACAGACACACACACACATATACACGCGCGCACACATACAAACCACACACGGGCACGTTCGCACACGCAACACACACACGCACAAACACGCAGCATACACACACGCAGATACCTACAAGCGACACACGCACGCAAACACATACGCACGCACACCTCACATACACGCGAACACCACACGCACACGCACACGCAGCACACACATACGCATACGCACATCAAACACACATACACAAACGCACGCACACACCACACGCACACCACACACATACGCACGCGACAAACACACGTATGGACGCTCCCGCGACACACACGCATACCGTACGCACACGCAGCACACACGTAGGCACACACATGCGCACGTGCGCACACGCAACACACACGCACACGCACCCATACACGCACCACACACGCAAACTCACACCACACACACACGCACACGTACGCGCACGCATCACACTCACATCTAATAGCAAAGCCTCAAATATTTTCTTCCGTTTTCCGCTGTCACTGTACACAATTTGTCTCTTGTATTATTGTTCTTCTACACGCCGCGTTCCTTCGGGACATAGGCAATCACGGCTCTCCACAACTTCCTATTCTTTGTGGACCTTAGCAACTTTTCTCCCTTTGCTAATCCTACTGCACCCCCTTACGCTATCCGTCATAAGAAGGCACTTCGACGTGGTTAACAAGCTTGTCTCGCTAGATCAATTACGACTATATAGTGAGTTTGATCCTCACTGGGTGCTCCATACTTTCGGCTTTGTACCACATCTAAGCTACACTTATAAAATCACTATACAAGATCATAAGGTACGTGACTAGCTAAAGGTTAGGTTTTCCAAGTCCTCATTTCCTCATTACGTGTCCAATGTTGATTGGTTTGGTTTACGGCATATCAACACCTCAATGAGTTATTTAATGCCGACAAATTTTTTATTGCTGGTAATATTTTCTTTCAAAATAAACTATAGTTGGTATTATCTTTTTTTCTAAAAATGTATTGGTGGTAATAAGTTTTTTTTTTTACAAAGCATTTCTGGTATGTATTAAAACCTATTTTTACACTTTCGTAGTGTTTTGACCCCAGTTTGGCTGTCAACTATTTGCCCATAGCTGGGACCCTAACAGGTGCTATCACCCTGGGTCAGTGTGGACCTGGGAACACCAGCAATTAAGAGGTGGTTCCACGCTCCTCAAAACCTCCTGATCAGAGGCTTTGCTGCTGGATGTAGTTTATCGTCTTAACCAGGACAACGTGTCCAAAGAATTTTAGCTGTCTTTTCCTGTTTCTGAATAGAAAGTGTTCTTTCTGTTGCCATTTTCTTTAAGACTTCTTTGTTGCTTACTCGCTCAGTCCATAGAATTTTCTGTGCTACTATAGTATGAGGCCTGCCTAATTTAGTACTATAATATGCGGTCTACCTCGCTATGAATTACACCGGCCTCACCTCTCCACATGTGTCCTGTCCACATAAAAGGAAAGATCCTACATCAGAGGCTCATCAAACCTCTGGGTTTGACAATAGTCAGCTTGTCGAACTCTCTGCTTCCGGGCAGAGAGGAACGTAGACGAGGCTATGCCGAAGGACAGTCTCATCTGGAGAGGTAGACAAACCCGACCCCATTATTACGGGGGTGTACGGGGAACTTTTGCCCGAGCCTACGGGCTCGGAACATCCCACGTGAAGAAAGAAACGGCCTTGTGCCACCGTTGTGGGGAGGACTTGGGTAAATACCGATTCCCCCTAGATCTGAAACCGTTAACATCAGTTGGATAACCTCATCCAGATTAAAATGTTGCTGAAAGATTTTTATAGACATGTCATCATAGCCGAGTACACAACAGTCGCATGTTTACGAGAGAACAATCTGCAGGATACGCTATAGTGTTCATCATCTTGCGGCCTCAGCCGAGATTGAACTCACCAATACTTTGATTGATGTAGTTCATAATCTTGTCAAATAGCTGAATTCTTGATGCTTCGCTAGGGCTATCAAGGGTGTTTTTTTATCGACACCAACACTAAATGGATTGCCAACCAAGGCTCAGAGAGACTCCATTCACCCTCCTCTAAGGGCAGGTTTGAATTCAGAGTTTTCCTTCTCCTAGACCAGTTGCCATTCAAGGCTATAGAACCCAGTCTGTCCTGCTATTTACCCATAGCTGGAGGGAGAAGAAAGAGGATTCACACCTTTCCCAAGGGTGTTAGCACGTAAGTAAATGTAATGGATTCGACTGGAATTCGAACTCGGCTCTCCGATTCCTCAATCCAAGCCGCTATCCATTACTCCACCGTGCTAGATCGAGCTGTAAACTACATACTATAGTAGAAAATGAGGTACACGGCATACTATAGTGTTTAATACCGTGGTAGACCAAATACCGTAGTAGCAGCGAATTTTCAGTATCATTCTGTAGAACCACATTTCTACAGCCTCTGCTTTTCTTCCTCATCAGTGGGGAGATTGTACGGCATTTACTGCCATATAAGAGGACGGATATCACATAGCAATCCAGCATTCGCTTCTTTCTTTCTTTCTTTTTTTTCTTTCTTTCTTTCTTTATTTTCTTTCTTTCTAACGATTTTTTTTCGTCTCTCAGCTTTTTGTCTGGCTTTTGGAATGGTTCTTTCGCTCGGTCAGCGCGTGTTCGGATATCGGTGTCACATTTTCCATTCTCTGCTAAATGTAAATTCCCACCCCGTGTTAAAATGTTAAGAATTCTTTTGGAAATATTGAATTCAATTTCATCGAATATTTTCAATCTCAACCTCGCCCATCACAAATCTCTAAACCCGTAAACTCAACAAGTTAATGATGGCTTTTAAAAAAATAATTTTTAGTTAATTTTCCTTGATTATACACATGAGAGGCTAAATTTGGGTCTAACGAGAAATAGTGATTTTCCGAATATTTCGGACTGAGCACTTTCAACCATGTTTTTGGGACATTTTGAAGGTTAGGTTTTACGCTCCCCGTCCACCATAGCGAAGTGCGTCACGGATCAATAGCCTACTGGATAAAAGTTCCTCTTCGTAAATTTGTTGACACAGTGGAAACGGGCGAGCAATAACTAAAGAGTACTAAAAATAAGAACTAAACGAGCTGTCCCTTAGACATAGGCAGTGGAATGGGAACAGTCTACCTCCGTAGGGTTCAGTTCGAAAATCTCTCTATGTTTCCCAGATCGATATACAACTGAAGAAGACCGAAAAGGTGTGATAAGCTAACAATCAGCTAATAGTAACAAAGAAGATGAGGATATTAGTCCGTATGTACATAAGTATAACTCCTTATTCCAGAAATTCAGACGGAAGGAAATTAGGTGATAGTTATAACAAAGATGAAGATAATAGGTGTTATGGCAGCTTACCTATAATAATAATTCCATACTTAATAAATACTGCGCCTCAGCAGTAGGCAACGAGTGAGTAGTTCAAGTCGAGTCAAGAGTCGAGTCAGAGGCAGTCCGAAACAGAGTCGCGTTCAGACAATTACTGCAAGACATTGGAATAGTGATACTGGTCGAGACTACATTGTTCTCTCTACTAAACCTGATTGTTCATACTAACACTTCTAATTCTCTGTATATATTCCTGTTTTTAATATATCTGTTTTATTCCATACCTGTGTTCTACCTTGGACTATCACCGTGGTACAAGGAACCAGACCATAACAATAGGCTTAATGCCAATAATGATAAGTCCTCATGCCAGAAATTCAGTTATATAGTCAGTAATTATTCTCTTTTCTGTTTGGTTAGAAAACACTCCTCCCCCTTCTCTTGGACATGAGTAGAGGCTTACGCCTTGTTTCTTGTTTAGGAAGGGGTTCTCGGTACTCTCTCTCTCTCTCTCTCTCTCTCTCTCTCTCTCACTGGCCTCTGTATCTCCAGTTGCCTTGATCTATCCACTACCCTTTTCCTCATCCTTTCTTCTATCACTCCTATCTGATCTTGCTCCAAATTTTCTGTAACCCCTTGCGTCCGAGTGGCTTTCCGCCTTGCTTGGGGTGAAACGCTTAAAAAAAAAAAAAAAAAGATGAATTACGTAAATTGCTAAGGTTTTATGGTTTCTTTCTTTCTTGGATGTGTACATGGCCACCGAGAGTCAAGTTCGAATTCCAGTCGAGTTAAGCTGAATTCACTTACGCGCAAATACCCTTGGGAAAAGTATGAATTCATATCTTCTCCTACTAGCTATGGATTAAATAGTAAGTCTTGTATCTGGAAAAATTATTGTTATCCCTCAAAAATTACTAATTGTCAAGTTTTTTGTCTTTGCTAACATATTCGGTCCAGTCTTCGAAAAAAAAATTGATTGATCATAATGGCAGAAATAGCTAAAAATTTCTAAGCGGCATCGGCGGTCGGTTTTCGAATCTAGATAAAAAGCGGGATTTTCGAAAGTGGTTTAACAAAGAAGACGATTAAATAACGATTAGAAATCTGGCGCAGTACAATCTTTTAACTCTACACCCTTTTTTTTCTGCCGTTGCTTCTTTGTATCAGTCAGAACAACTTAGAATTATTGTCACTTTTTAAGTGGTTGGGACAGGAATTACGACGGCGGTTGTAAAAAACCAGATTTGTGTCAAGCTGTCGACACAATCAAGACGCAGTCAGATACTTTGTGACCCACATTTTGGGCTCCCATGGTCGGCGTCGGGGTAGCCCGGTAACTACTGTCATGTCGCTCTTAATTTTTAAAGGGTCATGACCTTTTTCATATTGACAGACGTACGGAAAAAAGGATTTCAAGTTTCTACTCTTTATTAAATCATAGACTGATTGCGTTCCGAAAGGGGTTCTGTTCTTATATGGGTTTCGTTTCATATACCCGTAAATATTTTTTATTGATACGTTTTCTTCGGCTTATCAATCATTTACAGGTTATTTAAAGCCCCCCCACCCCAATTTTCTTACATTGTAATAATTTTTTTAGAGATAATAAATGATTTTAGTGATACAAATTTTACTAATTAACCCATAGGTTGGGGAGAAGTGGTGGATTCATACCTTTCCCAAGTGTATTTGCGCGTAAATGAATATAACGAACGCAACTGGAATTGGAACTCGGCTCTTCGATTAACAATTCCGAGCTATCATTCATTACACCACCTGCACATCCAAGCTTACAGTATCTGGTATTCCCAAGCTGTCACCAATCTAGGTACTGGGTAAGCTTGACGTTGCTTAACTTCGGTGCTCGTATGTGAACCGGTGTTTCAATGTGACATGGACGAAAGCTTCCATCACACCTTCCGCACATTGAAGCAGTAGTTGGTATTCTCAAGCGGTCACCCATCTAGGAACTTAACAGGCTTGACATTGCTTAACTTTGGTGATCATATCGGTACTGGTGTTGCAACGGGATATGGCCGTAAGCCACCCGTAAAACTTATGTAAATGAAAGTGGATTGACGGGTATAAATCTCTAAAACCGACCCCAAAGCTGAGCTTCATGGAATTCATTCGCTAACCTAACATCTAAATGAACATTTATATAGATACCTTCACTAATTCGCTGAAAAAAGAGCATTCCATGATGAAAAAAAGGCCCCAAACTTGATAAAAACAAAGTTTTATCGTCAAATTATTTAATTAAGAGAAGCACCAAAGTATTTTTTGATTATTTTATAAACTGTTTTAATCCTTTTTAGCACGTTCAAAATTTTGGTTAAAACTTTTTTTTTCTTGCGTAAGTGGGGATAGGGGTGGGGACAAAGAGCAAATTTTGGCGTCTTTTTATCCGTAAAAACATATTGATTTAGAAATTCTTGCAAGAATTATTCAATTTTTCTGGACTTATTCCCAAAAGAATGAAATTATTTAAAAATTGTTTTTTAGAAAATTTGGTAATTTTTTTTTATATATATCTGTACCCCCACACACGCTTACTTGACTTTATGAAATTTCGAAAATATTTATATTAGTTAAAAGCAATACTCTTTGGAGAATTTAAACCATTTTTTTTTGTAAAACAGATATACCATACACTGAAAATCTGCTCTGAATCGTAAAATAAAAAATGTAATAAAGCTAAGCCATTATTTAATTATAACATTTTTTAATTGCTTTTATAAATAAGATATATTAAGGACACAATTGTATTAAGAAAAAAATTCGATTAATAAAGAATTTTTACAAGAAAAGATTTCATTTCTTAAAACTTTTACTAAGAATAACTTAAGTTAATCATTTAAGATTTAAATATTTTAAAGTTCTGTATTAATTTCACCATTTTAGATTATATTAATAAGTAAAAGCTATATTTACTAATCATAAATGGAAAAGATTAGTACAAAACACCAAACACTAATATTTTTAAAAGAATTTTGATTTTTTTGTATGCGCATAAACATGCCGATTTTTGTAGATACGAACGCCTATACATGACGTTATCAGAAAATAAGACAGATAACTATAGTGAATTTAAAGCCAAAATGTGTAAAATACAATAAAACATTAGATTACGGAGAATATTTTCCTAATTTTTTAAGATTACTGGGTATCTAAAAGTTAGATTCTCATGTTATATTCAATTATTTTTTACGGTTAACACCCCAGAGAAAAACATTAGATAAACATTCATTTGTCATCATACTGTCAAACACGTGAACAAATTGAATAAACAGCTACTGCTGTGTAAAAAAAAAAATGAATTTCTGTGATATTTTAAACTTAAAGTAAATAATATTTGTTTAAAATCAGATTAAATACTCTTTAAATTAGCTAATATCCTTCTAATAAAGTTTAAGAAGAGTATATTTTATTTTTGGAAGATTTTTTTTAATAAATAGAATTATATTGCGATAAACGCTGGCTAAAAAAGGGCGCTAAAATACCCCCTCCAAAAAAGAAAAAAAAACTTCTTTTTCTTATTGGAAATATTAAACTTACTTTGTTAGTTTGAAATTAAAACTAAAATAAAAACTCCTAGAAAGATTTTTTCAATTTTAAAAATTCATTTAAAACCGTAGATATCGCGAATTCGTAGAGGTACCTACATTTATATATCATATTCTCCCAAGAAATGGTATGTGGGATGTGTGATGCAACATGGCCGTCACCCATAAATAGTATAACTTAGTATGATTAAGTATGATTAGAACCATAGAGCTTTTATTGTTTTGATTTATATTAAGAGGCATGATTTTTCCGATACATCGGATTCGATTAGAGAAAGTTACATTCCAATAGTCAAGCAAAGTATTAAGAATATCCAGTAACTGTTATCGCTCTTTCCAGTGTTGACGGGGGTTTCCTTCCTTGTTTTCTTTTATCATTTCATCCCAAGCAAGACAATAAAGTCACTAAGATGCAAGTGAGTAAATGAGTGTGAGAAAATATGGGAAAAAGTAAACATTATTAAAGAGAGAGAAAAAAATGAAAGAGCAGGATTTAAGATAGAAGATAACGATTGACATTGCATTTTTGAAAATCATGGTTGACAGAAAAGCAAGAAGCTGGAAGAGAGTTCCACAAATTGAGAAATGCGAGAGAAGAAATTTTAGCATGGAACTTACAGTTACGTCTAGCCATTTTAAGATTAAAAATGATGAGACCTTGACGGTAACTACCAAATGAGCCACGCAGTCAGATGTGGCACTAGGCCGAATTTAATGTGGGGGTCCCGAGCCCGTAGGCTCGGCCAAAAATTCCCCTTAGACCCCGTATAAAACGGGGTCGGGTAGGTGTTTCCCGAGACGAAACTCTGCTCTTCGACATAGCCCCGTCTGGGGACGCTCTCTGCCAGACAAAACTTAACTTGAAGACAAAACTCCAACTGCGGGCCGACAGACCCAGTGAGACATTGATGCTAATATAGTTTTCTCCCACCCCCTCTTAGGAAAGACACAGAATTCATGCTGCCGGGATATTTTTCCTTTGCCAATAAAATGGGATGGCTTGCGTTATGACAGGAATCAGTCCAGATCTGCCTTAACTACTACTAGACAGACATAGTAAGTTCGCTTGCTCGATCTTTTTTTTTTGCGTATAAACACCAACTCCTAATTTGTGAATTCTTTTGCCTTCTTATCAATTTTGATTTGCTATATTGTTTGCATGATTGTTGCTGTTTCATCTTTTTGACCTTTTTTCTTTTCATTGCAAACTTTATTAATTCTGATCATTTTATTTATCTGACAAATGGCTTCTAACTCATAGAAGGCAAAGAAGAAGATTTTCTCATTCTGCTGACCATGTCTATGGATATCTCATTTAGTTTAGTTCTTATTTGGTACTGCTTACTTATTGCTTGCATTGTTTTCACTAAGTCAAAGCAAACACTGTTCTGCCCAGCTTACTATGTGACCAAATTCACAAACCAACAGTTTGTTTAAGCCATCAGATATCAATTTAAATGGCTGAAAAGTTATGAAACTTCTGAATCCAAATCCCTATATGTTGATTTCCCAAGGTGGCAGGAAATAATTGCAAAAGTTTTCCTCTCCTTCTCTTATAGTCAGAAGGACACAAATTGAATGCCGGGATATTTTTCCTTTGCCAATAAAATGGGATGGCTTGCGTTTTGACATGAATCAGTCCAAATCTGCCTTAACTACTACTAGACAGACATACTAGGTTCGCTTGCCCGACCTTGTTATTGTGTACAAACACCAACTCCTAATTTGTGAATTCTTTTGCCTTCTTATCAATTTTGATTTGCTATATTGTTTGCATGATTGTTGCTGTTTAATCTTTTTGACCTTTTTTCTTTTCATTACAAACTTTATTAATTCTGATCGCGTTATTCAACTTGAACGTCAGCAATGGCTTCTAACTCATCAGTGATTATGTAGCGCCAGTCCACAATGTTCAAAGAAGGATTATCGTTGCCAAGATTCTCAGGCTTCACCCGCTCAAAGTCATTTTTAATTATTGATCTTAGAAAGCGGTTGTATAAGTCATTGGCAATTTCAACCATGGAAAGATTAACAATCAAACAACGTGTTAATTTTTCAAGAGTGCAATTGGAAAAAGTGTTTGTAAATTCCAGCAAATTGGGTCTGTGGTAGATCTGTTTGCCCGGTTACGCCGTTCAGCTGAAAACATTGCTGCAGTGCACGAGAATGTAACCGAAAATCCAGCCAATACTATTCGTCATCGTGCGCAGGAATTGAACCTCTCCACAACAACGTTACATCGAATTTTGACAAAAGATTTGTATTTACACACTTACAAAATAACGTTTTTTTTATTGTTAATCTTTCCGTGGTTGAAATTGCCAAAGACTTAAGTTGTTAAATCTGTAAGAAAAAAATAAAAATTCATTAGACGCTTAAACTTGATTCACATTTAAAATCGGTCCAAATTATTGGAACACCCAATATATGTGATAAATAATATATAATGTTCTTCGCTATGTCTGCTGGCATATAAAAATAGAAATCTTTTATTTTAATTCGATCTAATATCATTTCGTATATATCTTCAGTCTCATCAAAAGAACGTTGAATAAGATTAAAATGGAGGGAACAGTACAGGGGAAAACTGGATCAGGAGGTCACAACAGGAAGAGGGATTATCATTTTCACTTAAAGCTAAAGAGATCAATTAAAACACATCCAATTCAATTCATAAGAGGTTTGGCACGTGAGAGAGAAGTTTCGGCTATGACAGTCCAAAAGCAGTAAAAAAAAGTTTTGAAAATGAAATCGTACGTGAAACGTGTGAGGCAGCTTGTTACTCCAGGACCGAAAGTTAGAAGATTAGAGAGGGCGAAGATCATCTTGAATAAGTTGGTAAATGATCCTGGAATAATATATATATATATTTGAACTTTATATCAATGCTTTATGAGCTTCCGATCCTTAGCTATGATTAATTAATGATGAACATGTCATTTTCATTTATGATCGTTATCATCACGATTCTGATAAGTATGGTGAGTAATTAGAAATTCTTATTGCTCAAAGGTGGGTCCGATAGTATTCTCAAAACTTCTGAGAATTCCAGTAAGATATCTTTAATCATTTCTAAGATACATCGATTCAAAACTTAATAAGTGGACAGTTTTGCTGCTCCATCCGGTATAATTGAGCTGGTTTCATTTAGATTATTTTTCTTAATGTTTATGTTTCTATCACTTTTGTTATTAAATATCGCCCATTGTGATAATAGAAGTTCTGCTAAGGATGAAACGTTGTAGAACCTGGATACAAATTTTACATTTGAATTCACAGTTTGTACATTAAATGTTGCAACTATAACGAGACAGAAGAAAAGAAAACAACATCTGTCCAATAATGGTTGTAACCTTTGCATACAATTTTCATACACTAAATGTAGTAACAATTATGGGACAGCAACACACCTCTGTTTTATCAAGCTGATTTTCCAAGCATAGGTTAGATGTGGCACAAGGCCGAAAGTAGGGGTG